CCTAAATTGTAACTTAAAGTTTATTAATACGCACATGAAATCAAAGGTTACATTTAGATCGTATTTTAACACAAAAGAACCATATCCTAAACATAATAGGCCATGCCACAGTGACGCGCAGTTCCGTTTTATTCGGGAAAAACTGGAAACATAAACATTTTTCTAAACTCAACATTTTAATAACTGACATTCATTGCCACATAACTCATATTTGCCATAATTAAGCCGAATGGTTACCAATTATTCACAACATTATTTTAATTAGAAATAAACCCGCGTAGCCAACAAGCAATAACATTTGACATTTCGGAGACCTCACGCTACACTAGCGCCTCTAGCGGCGGATTCATACGCGATAGCCCTCATTGGGAAGCTGGTATTGCCAGGTTCTAGGTCACGGGTGAGCAAACTTTCACCTTATCGTGCCAATATTTACTATCAGAAACCAATTAGCCTAGTCCAAAGTAAGCACTTTAAGGCTTGTGTTATGGGATGCTAGGTTAACGGATAGAATACATATATAAGCATATTTATATAGAAATACATATTAAATATCCATGACTGAAGTACAAATTGCTCGTATTCATTACACAAACATCTGCCCCCACCGGGATTCGACCCCGGAACCTCTCGAGTCGGCGACACCATGAAACCCGGCGTACAAACCACTCGGCCACGGAGGTCGCCAATAATATGGCGGCTAAGTTTTTGCTGTGGGTACTCATATAGCTCGGTAACGGATGGCGCCCATTCAGCAGCTCGGGAGCAGGTAAACACGCCCCTGAGTTTGCTCCGAAGTATATAGGCAGGTCGATAAACTTGTCAGCCTTGTTCATTATCGAGGTGGTCCTTGTCGGAACATTTGAAAAATGGTACTTTTCGGTGAGAACTTTTGAATTTTGTTTGATGGTCGTGTTCCGGATTTCAACCATTCGAGGGCTACGGATGGCCCGCGGACCGTAGGTTGCCTATCCCTGGTCTTTTCGCTAGGTTCTGGTAAGTGCCATCCTTTTAGCCAAACGGGGATAATACTCGAAGTCATACTTTATATAAAAAATAGTAATTTTCTACAATCTAGCGATTACCGGCCATTAGATTAACGATGATTTGACGTATTGCTTTTGCGAATTGCGACACACTTCACTCCATTGAGAAACTAGTGCGGTGTGTATGCTACGCTTTATTAATATTATGCAAAAAGTTGTAAGATTAATACGATGGTTGTTACGTTAAGTAACAAGGGAATTCTTAGTGTGTTACGCGTTCAGTTATGTGTGATTAATATTTTTAAATTTCGTTAAGAAATTGTGTATGTGTTTACTTTAAACTTGCACTCAAAGTTAAGAATAAGATTCATCTCTTATCGTGTGTCATTAAAAAGTAGTTAGTAAGAATAACTTTACAAATTTCCTACCTGCAGATTGGTTATTTATTTTATCACTGTCATTGCAACAGAATGCGAGACGATTATTTAGAATATACACAGTCAGGTCTTATGTATTGTCACACAGTAAAAACTTTTCTTTTAGAATGCTGGCCGCAAAAAAAATTACTGAATTCGAATTGTTCATGAAAATAAAAATGCATACTTTTTAGAATTTTACTCATTTTTAAATATGGAGTGGACGCTTAAAGAAGACCGTGTTGCAGTTAATGCGTTGTATCGTTGCGGTTACGCGCCAATTCTAGTTCTTGTCCTACTGAAAAATTTGAATATAACTAAAAGATTCGTTTATCGTACACCATCAAACGATACAATGAAAACTAGTGAAGATGACAGGTCAAGAAGTGGTCGCCCTCGGTCTGTTAGGACTCCAGCAGTGATAAAAGCTGTGAAGGCGCGAATTCAAAGAAATCCCAAACGTAAGCAGAAACTGTTGGCCCTTCAGATGGGGTTAAGCAGAACCACGGTGAAAAGGGTGTTAAATGAAGACTTAGGGCTTCGGGCATATCGAAGAAAAACAGGACGTCGTTTGAATGCTCGTCTAATGGACTTGAGACTGAAGAGATGCCGCGCTTTGTTGAAGCGGTACGCGGGAAAAAAATATCGGGAAATTCTTTTTTCGGATGAAAAAAATTTTACCGTAGAAGAGAGCTACAACAAACAAAATGATAAGGTGTACGCACACAGTAGTGAAGAAGCGAGCAACCGTATTCCGCGTGTCCAACGTGGTCATTTTCCATCCTCGCTCATGGTATGGTTGGGAGTTTCTTATTGGGGCTTAACTTAACAGAGAAACATTTTTGTGAGAAAGGTGTAAAAACGAATACAGTTGTGTATCAAAATACAGTCCTGACGAACCTTGTGGAACCTGTTTCTCATACCATGTTCAATAACAGACACTGGGTATTCCAACAAGATTCGGCGCCAGCTCATAGCGAAGAGCACACAAGACTGGCTGGCGGCGCGTGAAATCGACTTCATCCGGCACGAAGACTGGCCCTCTTCCAGTCCAGATTTGAGTCCGTTAGATTACAAGATATGGTAATACTTGGAGGAAAAGGCGTGGTCAAAACCTCATCCCAATTTGGGTCACTCAAAACATCCTTGATTAAGGCAGCTGCCGATATTGACATGGACCTCGTTCGTGCTGCGATAGACAACTAGCCGCGCAGATTGAAGGCCTGTATTTAAAATCACGGAGGTCATTTTGAATAAACTTTATTGTCATAAGAATCTATGTTTTGTTAAGTTCATTTTAGTATATAATGAATAAACTTGTTTCAATTATTTTATATTAAACATGTGACAGAATTTATGACCTGACTAGGTATATTGCTCGTATTAATTGATATATAATCATCATATATCATCTGAATTAGCAGACGTAGTCTGACAGAATGCGAAACGTCAAAAAAGTAATAAAAAGATGCAAATCTAAACCCGTTTAAGCATGTTTTATTTAATAAGTGGTGTGCGTGAAAACTTAAGAAACAGACATATAAATATGTCTAGTCAATGTGCCAACAGCCTTTTTTTGAGAGTGTATGCTGTTGGTCGCAGATGTCCTTTACAGCGAAAGCGGGTTTGGCGAGATCCTGAGGGGACCTCAAGCCGAGTATAGGCGAGTGCCTCTCGAGGTATTCCAGACGGAGTGGAGACTCCCCTCGTGGGGAGATGCCATCCGCCTGGAGCTTCTACACCACTCAAACCTGAGGGGGGCGGGTCAACTAGAGGGCGTCTCTGAGACTCGGACCTCGGCTCTAGTTAGCCGTTGTCGTGGGGGGCCAGCCGTGTTGTGTCTCACAGACCGAAGCAGCCGCGGCCAACCCTTATTGGTCGCTCGTGTTTGAACACTCGCTCACTTGCAAGCCAATACAACTGGCCACCATCTCGGCCGCGGCCGCAAATCGCGTTTGTCTGTGAGACACTGAAAATCTGTCGATTTGCACGGCTCTAGAATAAGTAAATCAAATCAAAATATGAGTTACTAATGAAAGCCTTTACAGGACTTCCGCCCTGCTCTTTTACCCCTGATTAAGACGCTCTTGAAAACATTGTAAGTTTTCTGGTGAATATAACGCCTGCCTGCTAGATACATGGCAATGTCACTTGTAGGAGAAGCTCGCAATTTACGCACATCACCTTATATTTTGAGGTATATTCTCTGTATCATCCATACCGCGTGAAATTAAAGATATTTTTATAATGAATGTGTTCGACCGAATTGTCGATAGTTATTGTCCACGGGACCTCGGAGGATCTCGTCATCTGTATTAAAGTTTTCTTTTGAAGCTTACTACTGGCACCAGATTCTCTCATCTAATAGGATAAGATTGGTTTTATATAAGACTAAGCTGTAGATTTACGAACCGATGGCATAGCGTTTGACTTAAGCAAGTGCTTCTAACATACCTCGAGCCTAGACTGAATAAAGAAGTTTAAAGGAGATTGCTCAAATTGGCCTAAATGCACAAAAAATATTGACATACACGGTAATTCTTGGCGTAATTTATAATTTAATTTACAGTCATTAGATTTCAACGGACACCTTTGTATAATATATTTAGTTTAAAAGGGACTTTTAATTTTACCGGTTTGGAAAACATACGAATCATTTTTAATGGCTATGGGTGTAGTAACATTCAGCCAAAGACTGATCGAAGTTGTTTATATAACATAAAAACAAATCTATTTTGTAAATATCGATAAAATAAATCATTTTTTTTATTACACTTTGGTATTAATATCCACAAATATATTATCATTTTCAGTAGATGCAAATGTGCTCAGACAATTATTATAGATGGTAGGCGACATCATAAAGTCTATTGCCATACATTTTTCGCCAAACACCTCCATAAACACATTATAATCAGTATATATGTTAGACTTTAAGGATCTATGGGTCTACGTTCCCTGACTATAAATTAATTAGTAAATAAAATTATAAGGTGTGATACACTAAAAATCTAAAATATTTAAAAGGTTATCTTTAAAACATAACAAAAATAATGAAGCTACTAAATATATGGCTATATAACCTAAATCTCTATCTCTAAAAAAAATTCTCTCTAATCTGTGGCTCATTCACAATCATCATCATTCACAGTTTCTGTCACAGAGTACCTTATTATAACCGGAAATGACACCTGATTTTAAAAGTTACTCTTATGCATTAACTTTAAAAACAGGCAACTATCTGTTAATCTACATGCTCTATATACCTGAATCTAATCCATAATTTCGGTACTTGGCTTGATTTCCCTAGTTTACTATATAACTTATTTGTGTTTTATTATTTTAATATGATCATTGTATATGGTTTATAGAAGTTCTCAGGGGTGTCCGTCAATAATATTCGTTTCTACAGTAATTTATATATAATTTCGAATCTAGGAAACAATTTTTCAAGATTATTGGTCTTTAGGCCAAACATGTATGGAAGCTGAGCAATCTCCTTTTGGAGTTTTTGATTAGAATCTATTGTAACTATCTATACTGTGAGAATGTGAAGAGAAAATTTTATTTCTACAACTTATTTATTAATTGTCCCCAGCTCGGCGAATGCCAAAAAGTGGGAGGTAGAACTCGCAACCCTGAAGAGCAACAATCTGCGTCTGACGGCAGCCCTGCAGGAGAGCACCGCCAACGTGGACGAGTGGAAACGACAGCTGCATCAGTACCGCGAAGAGGTGGCGCGCGCCAGGCACTACGCGGGGAAAGGTGAGGGGCTCTTGTTGTGAAGGACACAAGGTTTAATATCCTGTGGTCTTTGTAAATGGCGGATTTCTGGCACGTAATATTATAATACGCCATCAGCCTATTAATGTCACATAGGGGCACAGGCCTTCTCTATGGATGGAAGAGGGAGATTGGCCCATGTGGTGGGGCCACGCGGGCAAAGTGCGGATTGGTGGGTGGGTGCTAACGACTGCAGATGCAACCGGGACCAACGGCTTAACGTGCCTTCCGAAGCACGGAGCAGCTCGAGATAATACATTTTTGGTCAGCCATCCAATGACCGACCACTGCGAAAGTTGTATAACTTCAACGATCGCAGCCGAAAGCGCCCACCACTTGCGCCATCGAGCTCCTCCATTATTAACTAACGGGTTAATATTGAAAATTATATGATACTAACTGATTTAGTTGAAACAGGTTTCATTGGTATAGAAGCACTGATTTTATTTATTTAGTTCCTCCTCTATTATAACAAAATATTTAGATATAGAATAGATAAATAGTAGCAGAAAATATTTAAGATTGATTTAAGGCATTAATGAAGGCAATAGGTTCAGTACAACTCGTAATATAACAAACGGTCATTTTGCTTTATACAGAGCACGGGATATAGTGTAATAGGATCCGGGTAGGTATTCGATGGCGCAAGTGGTTAGCGCGTTCGGCTGCGATTGTTGCAGTTAAACAGCATTCCCAGTGGTCGATCTTTGGATGGGTGATCTATCTCGAGCTCCTCACGAAGGCACGTTAAGTCGTTGGTCCCGGCTGCATCTGCAGTCGTAAGCAGCCACCAATCCGCACTGGGCCCGCGTGGTGGGCCGTAGCCCGATCTCCCTATTCCATCAATAAGGAAGGTCTGTACCCCAGCAGTGGGGACATTAATAGGCTGATGATGATGAGAAAGCAGGAGAACTCATTACAGATACTACGCGGAGAAAAGTGAGGGTAGTGGGCCTTATTGTGAAAGACTCAAGGTTTAATATAGTGTAATAGGATAGTTCGAAAGCAGGCATTAGGATATCTATACACGCGGGGATAGGTAAAGGGAGTGGGTCTTATTTCGTACGACACAAGGTTGGCTATAGAGAAGCTGGCTGAAGGCGCTTAATAACCAGGCCCCATACCCGATGGAACGATGCTCTATTGAAGGTCGCGGGAATGAGCATAGACCGATGGAGATAAATCATAAAGACTACTAAAATAAAGTGATCACGACCTTTACAAATGAGGGAACTATTAGAGAGATTAGATATCCCATAGGGTAGTTTACGCTAGACACTATGCGGGGAAAGGGTGGTTCTTATTCTAGACGACACAAGGTTTAAAATAGTGTAATAAGATCTAGGTAGAAAGCGGGAGAACTCATTCCAGATACTACGTGGAGAAAAGTAAGGGGAGTGGACTTTATTGTACAGGACACAAGGTTGAATATAGAGTGAAGTGAAATGGCAGCTCACCGGTTCCGGGTGACGCGTGCCAAACAATACGCGGGAAAGTTATAGTTCTTATAGTAAAGGGCACAAGGTTGGCTATGGAGAAGCTGTCTAAAGGTTCTGAGAACGCAGGCCCTTCACCAGATGGACCGACGGTCTATTGAAGGTCGGACGAAGACGCCGAGGTAGAGATCTTTGGGGGAGACCTTTGTTAAGCAACGGGGATAGTATGGTTGAATGATGGTAATGGAGAAAAACGTTCTTCTCTCCTCCGTTGCGTAGCAATAGCTCTGAATAAGTAGGCGGGGAAAGATGATGGGTTCGGGTGAAATATTCAAAATCAAAAATCATTTATTCAGTCTAGGCAGTTGCAAGCACTTGTGAAAGTCAAGAAGCTACGCTATCGGTTCGCAAGACTACGGCGGGAGACCTTGTTCTGAGAAGAACCGGCTAGAAACTTAGCAAGGGCTGTTTTTTTCTTCCTGTATTGTTATATACAGAGTCGTCAAGTTGAAAAAGACTTCAGAGATACTTCTGAAATCACCTTCCATTACATCATTTATAATATAGATATATACTTATAATATTTATTGTAGTTAAATTTATATTAAGTGTAGTAACCGGCGTTATTGAATATAGTCCTCTTCTGTAGTGATCCGAATACGAGGAAGTTCAAACCAGACATTACGTAGGGAAAGGTAAGTGGTTCTTATTGTGATTGACATAAGATTGGCTATGTAGAGGAAACATGCTTTTCTCCGCTCTTTATATTGGTATGCCCAATAAACAACTCAGGTTCACTTCGCAGATAAAGGCGAGAGGAGAGGTTCTTATAGTGAATGTCACAAGGTTGGCTAAAAACATCGTTCTGTTCCCTATTCAACTTGCTATGCACAGCCCTGTCCTCCTTTCCTCTATTGATATTGCAAAACAGGGCCTTTACTTTTAACTCTACTACTAATAAAGGTATGTTGTGTTGGCTTAGGCCAACTTGCAACAAATTTGCTAAAACACGATTCTTTGGAAACTAGATTCAACCCAAAGAAAAATGTCGATGTCAATTTGACATCATTGTATGGGCTAAATCAATTTTGGTTAAATTGAGATATTGCGAAATTTTCTTAAATTGAAAAAGAGGGCCTTTGGCAATGATGTAGGCATTTCTCATATTTTTTCTTCCATTTTCAACGACCACCGTGTCCGAGTAGTTTGTACGCCGGCTGTCGCCGACTCGAGAGGTCCCGGGTTCGAATCCCGGTGGGGGCAGATGTTTGTGTGATGAATACGAGCATTTGTACTCCAGTCATGGATGTTTAATATGTATTTCTATATAAATATACTTATTTATGTATCAGTACAATATATGTATTCTATCCGTTACCCTAGTATCCCATAACACAAGCCTTACAGTGCTTACTTTGGGGCTAGGCTAATTGGTGTGTGTTGGAGATAATTTGTATTTATTATCTTAAAATTAAAATGCACTAACTGTCATTTAAAGGTATCTAGATAGCTGTTATCTTGTTCCAGGCGCTGAAGCGAATGAAGTGGAGCAGCTGAGGCAGCGCGTGGCCCAACTTGAAGCAGAGTTGGCCCAGAAGAACGAGGAACTGGCCCAAATCACCAAGTCCAAGAAGAGCGAACAGGTATGACTGCTTGCTGTATATCCACGATGGATCCTCTGATGTTAAAGGAAACTTTGCTATGTCTGAGGTAGGGTTAGCGAAATTGAATCAGTACTAGAGTACTAGCCGGTGTAGACACCGGCATAATGCTTTTGCCGAATGCCATTAAATATTCATATTTTAAAAGTCAAACTTTAATTATATCGCTACAAATATTTTTGTTTATCTTTAGCAAGTCGCATTCCATTTAGATTGTTAATAAAAAATTGAGAGTTTATCAAGAAGCATCGATGGTTCGGGCGGCCCTGGCCCGGGTTCAAATCCCAGTTGATGAAACACTTTTTTATTAATTATTTTATATAGTTTTACATGCATCGCGGTTTCAATGAACCTCGCCTTTTTTTGTTCATGTTATAAGTAATTAAGGACATAATATTACAGTGGTTGTTGTTGTACTAAAAATAAAAATTGAACATTGCAGTTAATATTTGACAATATTCTGGCTGGTGCACTTAGCGTATTTTTAAGCAACCTCTGTTCAATGTCATAATGGTAAAAATTCGTATAGTAATCTATGTATTTGAAAATCAGGACTTCCCGAAACATATATATTTTTTTTCCCTGAATCCGAATTTGATATCAAACACCCCGGATTCGTACGAAAGTCAAAATTAATGGTGTTTTTTCTGTTTATAATCACACCATTCTTTAGTTCTAAAAGTGTAAAGATGTCTTCATCATCATCAGTCTATTAATGTCCCCAACACAATGGGGCACAGGCTTTCCCTATAGATGGAATAGGGAGATTAGGCCATGACCCACCACGCGGGCCCAGTGCTGATTGGCGGGTGCTAACGACTGCAGATGTAGCCGGGACCAACAGCTTGACGTGCCTTCCGAAGCACGGACTACCTCGAATTAGTAAGTTTTTGGCCACCCATCCTGTGACCGTGAAAGTTGCTTAACTTCAGCGATCGCAGCTGAACGTGCTGACCACCCGCGTCATCGAGTTTCTCTACCGTTACTGTTATTGAAATTAACTTAAGCTACCCCACGTAGTTTGGCCGCGCTGACCACCCACCCTCACCATCGAACTCCTCATAAAGATGCCTTAAGCCAGATTTACATTGATACAGTAGCTGGCGCCAGTTTTAGGAGCCTAAAAACGGCGTCAATAACTGGACTGGATTGTATCATTTACATTTTTGCCAGCAGTTGCATTTGAGGTTTAGTGGTGACTACACGTTTGGGAAAAAATGAATACTGATTTTATTTTCGCTTTCATTTCTTCAATAGTTAACCTTTCCATATTCATTGAAGAGCAAATATTTTGTGGGGTGGTTATTCGCATCTATTTATTTCTATAATTTTGTGAACGAATGTCCCATAAACACTCCTTGTTTCTATATAAATGTATAAATTGTAATGTGTTATCATCACCCCACTTTCGAGACATTGTCTTGTCGAAAGTTGCAGCAAATCAATAACACGTGGTGACATTAAGCGGTGGCGCCAGCGACTGGCGTGAACGTGTTTAAAAAGATCCAGTGACGCTGGCAAGGGGCGCGGGGGATGCGGGGTGTGGGCACTGGCATGAAAAGTAGGCCTTCTTTCTACTCCATGCTAGCGCTGGCGCCAAAAAATGTTTACATGGATCCAGTGCTGGCATGCCGGTGGGATTGGCGCCAGCTACTGTATCAATGTAAATCTGGCTTTAGAAATCCGTTATTTACATTTGGAATCGTACCCCCAAGGACGCAGAAGCTAAACTAGCTCAGAGCCAGCTGGAGCTCGCGTTAGCAGCTGCGGACGGGCAGCGGCAGGTGCTGCACGCGCTCAACGAGCAGCTGGCCCGCCAGCTGGAGCAGCTGGTGAGTGGATCCTGATGTGTATACGTTAGCAGCTGCGGACGGGCAGCGGCAGGTGCTGCACGCGCTCAACGAGCAGCTGGCCCGCCAGCTGGAGCAGCTGGTGAGTGGTTCCTGATGTGTATACGTTAGCAGCTGCGGACGGGCAGCGGCAGGTGCTGCACGCGCTCAACGAGCAGCTGGCCCGCCAGCTGGAGCAGCTGGTGAGTGGATCCTGATGTGTATACGTTAGCAGCTGCGGACGGGCAGCGGCAGGTGCTGCACGCGCTCAACGAGCAGCTGGCCCGCCAGCTGGAGCAGCTGGTGAGTGGTTCCTGATGTGTATACGTTAGCAGCTGCGGACGGGCAGCGGCAGGTGCTGCACGCGCTCAACGAGCAGCTGGCCCGCCAGCTGGAGCAGCTGGTGAGTGGATCCTGATGTGTATACGTACACATCGGATAATCGAATGCATATTTACCTAAACTTATTGACGTGTAATTTCCTCTCGCTTTCCTGCAATTTGTGGGAGTGATTTGGTGAAATGGGACGGAAGTGTGTAACAGGAAGTAGCGAAAGCGCGCGCTATTTGATTTGATTTTAGAACATTATGTTCAAAAGGCTTATTTCCTTTTGTAGTAGGTTTTATTTCTTTTTTTTACTAATGTAAGGTGAGGTTTCAAATGTTACACATCATACGCGACTACCGTAAGGCTCGCTCGTTTTTTTATTTTGGTTAAGAAATTAAAAAAAAACAGGCATCTTAGGATGTTTACAAATCTAATATTAATAATCCCGGGACTCCGGGATCGCACAACTTATCAAATGTATATTCAATTTAAATTTTTCATTTGAGTATGTGTGCGTCTTAAGAGTAATTGTGATGTGGTGAACAAGTGCATATATATAAGTGAAATAAATACATTTTTACATTAAAATCATCTAACACGACATATTTTTGTTATACGTACAGGGCAACTGTCGTCTGTATTTACCAGACTGGGTTAATTAGATCTCACAGGCACAGACTTAAATTGCCATTTCGCGGAATCGCGGGATTTTTTCGCTAAAAAAAAGTGCTTTACATAATAGCCTAATATCTCAACTTTACATCATATTTAATTTACTTTTGTAAGTGAATATTCATCCGATTATCCGATGTCTAGTTACAGGACATAGAGACCAAAGTAGCGTAGCAAGGGTCTTCAAATCGTCAAATGTCATTTTCAAATTTTATATGGAAACTTGAACAGCAGCGCCACAACGGACGTGACGCGAACTAAAAATCAGTACACATTTCACGCATGTCTAGATCGAATTCAACTATTCGAATTCGATAATGGTTCGTGCTAAGGGTAGTTTCAATAGCGGTGCATGGAGGAGTGAGAGATATGAAATTTTTGGTCACCCATCCAATGACCGACCGTTGCGAAAGTTGCTTAACTCCACGATCGCAGGCCGGACTCCACAACTCTGCTGTATAATAAACCACTACATTTAGGAACATGATAATCTGAACCCTGCTGCCCTCTGGAAAAGCTTGTGGACCAGAAGACAGTGCTCTCCCTACTATTGTTACGCACTATGAATGGATGTTTGTCTATAGTCTATAGTCTATTCACTTTGGTCTGAGACAAAATGTAAACAAAGAATCTCAGGTTCTAAAACTTTTTTAATGTCAGAAAGTACCTACTAGCCAATGATCAGGTCTAGCTTCACCACTCATTAATATAGCCACGAAAACGTCAATTCAACAAGAAAACAGTCACAGACAACTTTAAACTTAACAGTAAAATAATAACAAAAATGAAACAAGGAAATAACAAGAATTTAACAATTATGATAGAATATGCACGCTCGCGTCAATGGCTGACGTAAATAACCAACCGATTATAAAATACAACATTTCAACGTAAAATACTTATATCATGTCTACTCTTAAATTTTGTCGTATTATAATACGTCTTAGTTTGGGAATGATTGTGTTTTTAGGTCTTTTTCCATGTCAACTGAAGTTGTTAAAATACTTTTATCAGCAATATAAAAATATACGAATTTATGATGTGTATGTACCAGCTTTTAAAAAAAAGTAACTTAATGTTTCACTGCATTTCCTATGTAAATAGTATTTAATCTTTACTTTTGTCAAAACTGACCTTAAAAAAAAGGTAAATTTAAAAAATCAAAAAACACGACTGCTTAATAGGCTAGTTGACCCTTTTTGGAAAAAGGTTTTAAATGGTTAATAAATGTTCTATTAGACCGAAAAAAATGTATTGTATTTTTTTGAGACCTAAAAAGCTACAAATCTTTAATTTTAAAATAGATTTTTCATGGACATACAAAAACGCTATCGGCCATTTTAGTCTATAGATTATCTATGCTATGACGTTAACTGCAGTAAACACATAGAGAAAGGTAAATAAACAAAAACTCGTAAGAAAATAACTGACTTTATAATAAACAAAAGATGATGATTTCTAATAAATACCCCGAAAAATAAAGTAATTATCATTATTGTATTGTACGAGAATATAAAAACACATCCTTGAAGATTCCAGGAAAGTTGTGAATTAAAAGTGCCGAAAGAAATTAACCTACGCAACTTTATTACACTTATTCATATGTTGTATCAGTTTTATGTTTATTACTACATTGTAATACTAAATACACTGTACTTACATAAATGCCTTGTCGTTTCTCTGCTCCGCAGAGCAGAAATCGGGGTTTAGTGAAATAAATTCACCAACCATGAATGCGTCAATTCTTGGCAGAATTGTGCTTTCTGTTTTCACAAAGCCGGCATCCATAATTAGTTTTTTCAAAAAAAAACAGTAAACGGAAACTTTTCTAAAGTTAAAAGTGTTTTTATGATAAATTTAGTCAGACGAAAGAATCCACCCACAGTAACACGCGAATGACATTTAGTTGTTTACCATATGAGACGTCACAATCATGGCGGATGTGGCGAACAGCATTTTTAGTGTTTAAAAAATATAGACTAAAAATATTTTTTAAAATTAAATTTCTACAGCAATCTTCTGCTTTTATGAAGTGAAATTGATATATTTCGGTTCCTTAGACCAAATACTTTATGAAATAAACATTTATTTAATACAATTCGACATGAGTCAACTAGCCTATTATTCTTCAAATAAAAACTGAAAAGAAAAAACCAAGTCCAGTAGTCTATAATTCTGTTAATAAGGAACAAAGCTACTTTAACAGTCGGGACCCACTGTTGAAAAATGTTATGTATTCTTGAATATCTAATGGGTCCCGACTGTTAAAATAGCTTTGTTCCTTATTAACAGAATTTTTACCCGGCTGCGCAGGGTAAAAAGTATCCTTTTTATGGTTTGTTTACATTTTGTCTCACGCCAATGTGAATAGACTATAGTTAACTAAAATAAGCTATCAAATGACTTGTGTGATTTATTTAATTGTATGCTTTCACGCACAGAAATCATTAAATAAAACACTTTTTTAAACGGTTATAAAATGGCTGATATTTGTATACAAACGCCCGACATTCTGGATCGTTTACAGGTTCCGTGTTCACGAGAATGTCACTTAATAATTTTGACCAGTTAGGGGCCGTTCAAGTATTACGTAAGCAGCTTTATTACATTTATTTACCCCCTCCTCCCCCTTGTCAGCAAAAGTAAGCAAAGTTCTCCCCCCCCCACACATACATGCTTACGTAAACATTGGTACCTATATGCATTTTTCCTTTAATGTATTCTGTTTTTTTTTATCAATTCATGAGCGTCATGAGCAGCAGTACTTAAATAGGCTTAGGATAGAGGACTTTAATGCACATAATATAGATAGATAGATAAACACTTTATTACTCACACATACACAATTAAAGGGTTTACAAAACAGATAGTTAACTATGGCGGGTAAAGGCGGTCTTATCGCTGAAAGCGATCTCTTCCAGACAACCTTTAAGTCGAAGGATAGTTTAACAGAGATAGAAGAGTAATGTGCCAGCAAAATATAAAACAAAATAAAATAGAAATAACATTATATATATTATATAAAATACATACAAAACATAACACCTATATATATATATATATATATAATATATATATATATATATACAGGTTGTTACAAAAATACAAATAAAGCTTGAAGGGCGTCAAAGTACATCATATAAGGAGTCTTCTCTAAATTTCTTAAAATATTTGCATGAACTCTTAACTTTTTATAAAAAACAGTTATTTTTAATGATCCTTCAACTAGTGACGTGTCTTAAAATGATCGATATTTTTATTAGTCATTAAAAATAACTGTTCATGCAAATATTTTAAGAAAATTAGAGAAGACTCCTTATATGATGTACTTTGACGCCCTTCAAGCTTTATTTGTATTTTTGTAACAACCTGTATATATATATATATATATATGTATATATATACTAGCTGACTCGGCGAACTTGGTACCGCCCAAAAGTAATAATTTGCAATAAATTAAAATTGCGACTATAATTTGAGATTTAAACTATCCTATCTCTCAAGTTGGATCGAACTGCACATGGTGTGCGAATTTTATTATTATCGGTTCAGTGGTTTAGGAGTCCATTGAGGACAAACATTGTGACACGAGATTTATATATATTAAGATATATATATATATATATATACATATATATATATGTAGGTGTTATGTTTTGTATGTATTTTATATAATATATATAATGTTATTTCTATTTTATTTTGTTTTATATATATTTAAACAAACTTTAATGACACAGTATTCATCATAGATTAAGGTACAAATATTATAATCTTATTAGATACTATTACGAACAAAACAAACTTCTTTCGAATTTTTGGTATACATATTAATTCCAATTAACAGTCTTCAGTCCATGGCACCGGAATCCATGATGCTGTCGTAATCACTACTATCTCGACCCCCCCCCCCCCCCCCTGTCATCAAATATAAGCAAAGCAAAGACCCCCCTGCCCCCCTATAGTGCTTACGTAATACTTGAACGGCCCCTTATCTTCGAAAAACTTTTAATTACTGTTAGGATTCTTCGAATGTTTTTTTTTCGGACACTGAGTTTAATTCAAAGTTTTAAAACTTGCAAATGATCCGAAACGCCGGGAATATGTTGAAATATTAAAAAGCACAGGTTCAAATCCATAAAAAAATTGTTTTATCCAAACCCACTAGTAGCATATTTTCTAAATCTCGATTCAACTAAAACTAGATATATCCTATTAGAAAACTTCAAAACTTCCATGTCAATATGACATTATTGTATATGACGAATCCAGTTTTAAGTTCAATTGAGATTTAGAAAGATTTCTGCAAGTGAAGTTCACTGTCATCTTTTCGTGGTCTGTGTCATCGTCATTAGCCTTTTAATGTCCCCACTGCTGTGGCATTCCCTATGGATGGAATAGGGAGATTGGGAAATGACCCACCACGCGGGCCCAGTGCGAATTGGCGGGTGCTAACGACTGCAGATGCAGCCGGGACCAACGGCTTAACGTGCCTTCCGAAGCACGGAGGAACTCGATATAGAAGAGTTTTGATCACCCATCACAATGGCCGAATGAATGTGAATTAGTGTCGTGGTCTGTTTAACTTTTTATTCTAAAAATAAGGAGTCATTCCCCATATACATTCACAACCAGCACTACCATATACCCTATCATGTAAAATCATATAAATGTGAAACTAGATTTTATCTTTGTTCTCCTTTTTTTTTGCTTATGTAACACTTTCTTAAGCCGGGATAGGCTGGTGCACTGAGACACAGGCGTCAGTTTAGTTTGGTCACCAGTCTCTCACAATAGGGTATTTGACAGTATTAAAAATAAAGTGTCAATTGGTTAGCATCTGTGTTTAGAATGAATATTGGCAGGGGTTTTTACTATTATTACAAAAAAAATATTCATAATTTTACTAAAAACCCACGAAAAAGATAATAGTTTTCTTATCTATTGTCACGTGACCAAAAACGCTTGGGATTGGCGGGGCCTAAAATGACGTCACACGCAAGTAAACTTCCTGTTAAAGTGACATTACATTGTATCGTTTGACGTTTAAATAACAGTCCTGTGATGTCAAACATTAGTAAGACGCCATATTGTCCAGAGAAACGTTTTCGTGGCAACTTGAAAATGGAGTTTTTAACATGGTTTTTTTTTACTGAAAACACAACAGAATGATGAATATCCACTCTTTGCGGACTTCATAAACATTAGTCAATAACGTGAGATCGTTTTCTCAAACCTGTCAAATACCCTATCGTAGTCCTAAGTTTTATAATCTGTTACTCATGAATCATGTATACGAGTAATGGTAGCCATACACACTACGAGAAATCGTTACGATCAGACTGTACAGTTCGAACGGAACAGATTATCGTACGTGGCGTACGTATAGGAAACTGTGCAGTTTTATAACATACACGCTACGATTTAACGGTACCGTTCGGACTGTACAGTCTAATCGTAACGATTTCTCGTAGTGTGTATGTCTACGATAAGATTGTGGAGAGAAAATAAAGGTTATTATTATTCACACAGACAACGATTCACCGCGAGATAAACACCGCGTTGCAAACATGAGACTCGGCCTTACCGCCGCCGCCGCCAATATACGCGTCCGTGCTCAAAGACCGACGGCCACTACCCCTCCTCCTACAAACTACCACCAAAACACAACCGCAACCGCAACCGGCCGCTTCGCAACCGCAACCGACCGTTACGCAACCGCCGCCGACAACTACGCAACCGCAACCCCCTCGGAGGGGCGAGGAACCGACTTACGTCACGGTGAAGGCGAAGAAATGAAGAGTGCTATCGGTATTTCGCAAGGTGCATGAGCCTTTTTAAACCGTTATGTGTTTTATGTTAATTGTGGTGGTTTCGGTTGACTTCGCTGTGGTTCTTTGTACCGATTATTATTATTTGGGTAGATAAAACTAGTTTTTACGGGTTAATGCACGAAACTTTATTTATTTATTGACGTTTCGCAGCCTTTTCAGGTCTGCATCGTCAGAATAATGATTTTTTATTTAAAATTGTCGAGCTTGAGCGAACGCTCAATATAAGTCTTTCGAAGGTAGCTCGACAATTTTAAATAAAAAATCATTATTCTGACGATGCAGACCTGGAAAGGCTGCGAAACGTCAATAAATAAATAAAGTTTCGTGCATTAACCCGTAAAAACTAGTTTTATTTAATGAGTGATGTGCGTGAAAACCTAAGAAACAAATATTTGGGTAGAGTCTGTGCGGAAAGAGAATGGAATTTAGATTGAAGGGCGCTGTATACAGATAACGAAGTCTAACGAGAAATACGTCAAATTTCGTTATTTGTGCACTCTAATCTTTGTGTCATCTTCATTGGACAATCTTCGAGATTATTAGGTGATTGAATTCCCTTTCGTTTGTATCACTACTTATACAACATCTAGATACCTACTACACAATAACACAAGAGTCTGTACGGAAACAGAATGGGATTTAGGTTGAAGGGCGCTGTGTGCGTTTCTACTGGATTTGTAAGGTTTTACCCCTTTTCGACATGATTAAACACAAAAAACCGCAAGAAATCACAACAACAAACAAATCCGTATCAATACAAAACTTTGACGTTTTACAGATTGCTGGGTTTGATTGCCAAATAAAAATCTGAATGTTAGTTCCGTTTTTCGTCACACCCATTCTCTTTCCGCACAGACTCTAGTGATAATTATTATTATAGAGCTTTAAAAACAAGACACTGGAAACATCGATAATATCGCGTTGGCATGGTCGATATATCGCATGTCGATATTTCCCCGACTTAAAATATAGATATCGATATTTCTAAAGAATTTGCATCCCTACCGATAACGTGACAAAATGGAAAGTTCTGTATTGTCAAGACTCGGTTACTTACGGTACTTTATGTATGTAATTGAACAACATTGCAACAGAGAAAATTACATAAACACAGCCTTAAGTTTTCCCCCAGTGAAAAAGTTATATCTCGTGACTTAACATCAATATTTATATTTTTTTAAGCATGTAACTGCTTGATGTTAAAATCTAAAGAAAATTTAACAAGAAAAAAAAACCACGCCGACCATTGTGGATTACCTACAATTCGAAGAAATGGCGCTGCCTTGCTGCTTAAGAATGGCTAGAAGAATTTCGACGCGGCCGTCAGGGCTGCGGTAGCATAATTGTTCAGTGCATTCGCCCGGATTGAGAAGGGTGCGGGTTCGAGTCCCGTCTGCTGCCTGGTCCGCGTGGAATCAACATTTATTTTGACATTCAATGAAAAAAATTGCTGTTTTTTTTATCTATTTAAAATTTATTGAATAACTAGTATCTGTTTACATTAAAGGTAAAAGCTTTGACTAACTTCAGAAGACACGTTTGACTAGTTCCCTAGTTTTTCCTAAAAATAAATACTTGTCAATTATTTTCTGTTACATTATTTTGACTTACATACAGAACTATCGTGGGTGTGTTATTGAAGCTCCAATGGGCGCGTTGTTATCGGTCAATAATATCGTTTGCGTTACTGCGAAATGTGTTTTTAGTACATTATGTATGAGAACGGCTACAATCTTTGCTCCAGAACTAACGCGTTGATATCAAAGTGTCAATTCAATTTTATAATGTGTAAATGCACTGAAAGAAGTTATTCATTAACAAACTAAATCGAAAGAAAATATAACTAGAAAAAATTCCACGCGGGCCAGGCAGCATACGGGACTCGAACCCGCACCCTTCGCAATCCGGGCGAATGCACTGACCAATTATGCTACCGCGGCCCTCACGGACCGCGTCGAAATTCTTCTAGCCATTCTTAAGCTGCAAGGCAGCGCCATCTCTTCGCATTATAGGTAACCCACAATGACAAATGAATACATTTACAAGTATTAAACATTTGAAAGAAGTGCATTCGCCCGGATTGCGAAGGGTGCGGGTTCGAGTCCCGTCTGCTGCCTGGCCCGCGTGGATTTTTTTCTAGTTATATTTTCTTTAGATTTAAACATCAAGCAGTTACATGCTTTAAAATAATAAAAATTAAAACTAAATCTCTTTAAAAGAATGAATAAACTATAAGCTCTCTTTATAGTGTCAAAGTAAGCAAGTTCTCTGTCTCATAGTGTCAAAGTAGACATGAATGGCAAAATTGGATTTGTCGGAAAAATGCTTAACAAAAAACTTCATAAAACGTACTTGTCGAATTCCATAATTATAAATCCTTAGTGAAAAGTTATTCCAATCACCACCAAAGTGAAGCGAAATCACCACTTTTCAATAATTAACATTATTGTAATATTATATATTATTTTCTCACGCCACATGCTTATCCACCGATTTAATTTTAATTAAATAAAATGTATTATATAATAATACTTGATTGAAATGTTAAGTTTAATTGGACTGGAGTTTGCAATGTTAACAGTTTCGGGGACAATGACAGACTTTAAAGATAATATAGTATCAGTTATGGAATTTATCTCGTTGGATTTAAGTTCTGAAACTGTTTGCTTGTCACGAAATAATCGAAGGGATTGGCGAACAAAGATTCTGTTCGAAACGCACATATTGTGTGATATTTATGAAGTTTAAAGAAAAGTTTACTAGAAAAAAATCCACGCGGACCAGGCAGCGGACGGGACTCGAACCCGCACCCTTCGCAATCCGGGTGAATGCACTGACCATTATGCTACCACGGCCCTATTGGCCGCGTCGAAATTTTTCTAGCCTTAAGGGTTAAGGCTTATAACTATAATTGCTATTTCTTCTTTCAAATGTTTAATACTTGAAAAAGTATTCATTTGACATTGTGGGTTACCTACAATGCGAAGAGATGGCGCTGCCTTGCAGCTTAAGGCTAGGAAAATTTCGGCGCGGTCAATAGGGCCGTGGTAGCTTAATGGTCAGTGCAATCGCCCGGATTGCGAAGGATGCGGGTTCGAATCCCGTCCGTTGCCTGGTCCGCGTGGATTTTTTTTCTAGTAAATTTTTCTTAAGATTTAAACATCTAGCAGTTAAATGCTTAAAAATAAATAAAAACATTTATGAAGTTATTAATATGGTTCATTTTATAACCATCTTTATTTGTTTCTTAAAGGCTGATTTACACTTCGGTAAGTCGTTACTGGTGTCGATTCTGGCAGGATTCTCCAAACTCGAAACTTAATTTGATTTGATTTTGAAACTAGATTTGATTAGTCAGAATTTGAAACTAGATTTGATAAGTCTGTCTTTTTCATTCTGTATCGACAATGACAAGGACACACTGTTTTCAAATTTAAGTTTAGCTTTAGAGAATCATGCCAGAATTGACACCACTGTTAGCGAGTTTAGAAATCGGAGAGTTCTGCTGTAAGTACTAAACTGGCAAATCCCTGTCCAAACGATAGTAAAAACCTAACTCGCCAAGATCGTAAATTTATTCATTACTATACTTATCGAAGTGTAAATCAGCTTTTATGTATAGTATTAAGAACACTATAATATAATGCATAATATACATACATAATAATTTTAAACATTGTTTTAATATCCAATTGTTCATATGTCGATTCTTACCTCAATCATTTCTAATGATATGTAAATATGAAATAGATTGTATAATTCTCATGTGACTTATTTTTAATATTTATTGAACACGACACAGTTATTTTTAAATACTTAAACAGTAAGAAATACTTTGAATGTAAAATGAACAGAATCGTTGTTTGCGTCAAAGTCATTTAAAGTTGGGGCAAAACAATGTGAACATGTTTCAGTATCTACGCGTAGATAGATTTTACTCGTCTATTGTGAATGCATTTTAATAGTTTTAGAACTGTTATTTTATGCAAAAAAAAATAAAAATTGTTTCGTCCCATGTGAAGACAGCATTATGCCAACATTGGGGCCAACTCGCAACATTGTTTAAAAATGGAGGGTAGTTCGAGTTTTTGCGGATAATTACAGAGAACGAACTAAAGATGGCTGTGTTATACATTAGTCTTATAACGGTTGGTACCATTAGTTGGCTAACGAATATGGAATTATTGGAAGGGCGGTTGCAATAATCGACGGCAGTGGCGTACACGACCTTACGTCTATGTAAATACGTTTCAAAGTCGTTTGCTGACGACACGACACACACATGCCAAAAATTTTCATATTTTCTATTCATTAAATGTATATTTTAACGTAGTATTATTCTATTTAAACGTGTAAGTAAGTATAATACTGGCTGCACGGTGAAATACCGAATTTAAATAATAATGAGGAAATTTGAATGAAAAATGTCTCGTCTTAGAGAAATATCTTCGGCTGAATATACTATGGTAATCTACTTTTCAGACGGGCTGTGCCATGTCTCTAGTGTACATTAAGAACTATACCTTAATTTTTATAAAGATAAAGTTTAAAATTTGATGTTCGAAGTGCGGTTATAATCGCAATTACGATTGTATTATTACATGTTGGACGCATCGAAAGTGTAAACGCTATTGTATGAAGGAATTTCTTGAGGAACGATTATGATGCTTCGATATTGATATGACGGTCATATTATGACTATTTATAAGTAGTGTTTATTTTATAGAATTATTAGATCAGAAATCTATTAAACCTCCACTATTCGATCTGTGTATTGCATTTCGTAGCGTTTTCTTTACTCGAATAAACCTTTTCCATCTATTTAAACTAGAGAGATTCTTTTGATTATTTGACTTACCTACTGTGTAGGCGATCTATATATTTATTGTAATTTAGAACATGATGGAATCGCATAAACGTTGTTTATTCGATAACAATAAATGGTTATTGTATTAAGTGTAAATCTCTGTAGTTGTAAGATTGAAAGTGTAATACCATTATATCCGTCTACTGGGTCCCGAAATGCGAGTTAGTAGGTTTTTTGTTTAGTCACTTTAAGTTGGTTTTTTATTTTTCAAAAACCCTGTAATTGTCTAGAAACCCTTAGCAGATTA